TGCCTTTGAGATTCGCACCGCCCGGTTCTAAGATTCTTATTTCTTTGTTTCAGGTCTTCCTCCTACTCAAGATCATATGGATCGCGAAGCAATGAAAGCTCGTCGGGAGGCCAAGGCCGCTACGCAACGAGCGGCAATAGCGAAGGCTCGGGGGCCAACCAACCTTCTGAAACTAACTCTTCCGCCGCATCCCAGGCGGATAAGTGTGTTGCGGACGCCGAGAGGCTCCTGATGGCCGAGGTGACTAGGCAGGATTCTGAGGTCCGGCACGTTCAAGATAATCGGGTCCTGAACATGGATCCGATCGGTGTTGCTATCCCTGCTGGTGGGGAAAAGGATAAAGGGAAGAAGACGAAGAGGCAGTGCGTTGAGCCCTCCGGCCCCAAGCCTACTGACACCGCGGTGCCCTCTATTATCCGTCCTATTTCCGAGATTTGGAGGGACATGGCCCTTCAAGCCGGACTGGAGCTGTCGGGCCGTTCTTCCGGTGATTCCGTTGATCATGCCCTGCTCCTGAACCTTGAGGTACGTTCCTATCATTTCCCTCTTGTCACTTGATCCGCTATCTGTCTCCTCCTGACTCCTTATTTTTTCCTTGTAGGATGGGTTAAAACTGTTGCAGGCAAGGGCCGCCTGGGAGAAGGATGTCGCCGAGCTCAAAAGGAAAGCCGATGCGGCTTTGAAAAAAGAGCGGGAGGCCATGCAGCTGCGGGAGGCTGTCCAGGCCGAGATGGAAAAAGTCCAGGTTGCCTTAGCCCAGGCCAAACAGGAGCTCCAGCTCGTCCGGGACCAGAGCCAACAGGAGAAGCAAGATCTCCTTTCTAAGGTGGCCCTAGCCGAGAAGCATGGGATTTCCTTTGTCCCAACCGTAGACCCTTCCCCGAGTCCTGAGAGCGGGTCCTCCCCCGGCGACGTTCTGACCCTGGTCCTTAACATTGAGGAGTTCAAGAAGACATCCCAATTCCTCCAGGCCGCGCATGAATACTGCCGGGGAGCCGCGGGGGAGGTCTTCGAGTCCGAGCTGCAGCCTATGCCAGAAAAGGAGCGTTTATCTCATGGGGTGCGGCTTTTACAGAAAACTGCGCTCGGTGGTGAGTGGCTCGCGGATCTTGCTGATGATGCTTTCGCAAAGGGATACTATGAGGGCGTTAAGGACCTCAAGTGTATCCTTCCTCAGGCCTGTTGTCCCCCCTTCAACGTGGAGGACTATACAGAGGGAGCAGAACTCCGGCGGGTTATGGGGAAGATTGACCGGGATCAGCGGCGTGTCGAGGCCGTGCAGAGGGGTCAAATTCCTGATCGCCCGACTCCCGAGCCCGTACTTGACGAGTTCGAAGAGCCGCAGTCCTCCGTCCCGCGCTCCCTTGCTCATGGTTTCCTGGCGTGATTTTGTACTGTTCCGTTCTTGCTTAGTTGTATGTCCTGGCTAGTAGAGCCGAAGAATAAAAACTTCTTTTTCCCCTGTTGATTGATGGTTTATTTTGCGGGGAACGGCTCTTTTCCGTTCCCTGCTTTCTTCAGCGGGGAACGGCTCTTTTCCCTTAGATTCTTTCCCTTATTTCGTGTAGGGATCTCTTCGTTTGCCTTCTCTCTTTTTGGCGAGGAATGGCCCTTTCCCCTTGGATTATTTCCCTTATTTCGTATAGGGGTTCTTCTCTTTTGCCTTATTTGTCCTTTTTTTACATACCCCTTCCTTATCCCTTTTGGGGAATGGAGACGCTCGTCTTGTTGTGGGGAAAGGTATCTCCGGCACGTGCCTTTGGTAGCGTGGATCTCGAAGCGTCGCGCCAACCGCATGATGTACCAAACACGGTCCGCCACGTGTCTTCCCCCAATTCGGTAAAGGGTGGCGATGTCGCCTATAAATATCCTGTTACCAAAGGGGGAATTATCCTGTATTTTCCTTTGGTCGTTATTCTGCTCGATTAATTTCTCTCTCTAGACCTCCAATTTTCTCTGTAAGTTTTGTATCTCTCATCCGTTCCTTGCTATGACTTCTATTGTCCCTATGCAAACTCCTCGCGGCCGTCCTGGAGGTTCATATGATGATGGTTGCAATTCAGGGGACGGCCTTTTGGTCTACCAGAGTGGGATGCCCCCCCAACCTCCCCGCTACTCTCTGAACTTCCACCTCGTTCAGCGGCAACGCCAACGTTTGCTTTCTAGTGAGAGAGATTTGATTCGCCAGTAGCTCACCCCCCACGGGGCTGGGATGCACGGTTTCTCCGCCATCCTATGCGGCATTTATCCGGCCACGTGGTCATCCATCTGGACTCTGTGGCGGCGGGCTTCCTTTTCCCGTTGTTGCCTTTCTACATTTCTGTTTTTAGGGGTCTAGGTATCACCCCGGCACAGCTCATCCCGAACTCCCACCGGATTCTTGCCGGTTTCATTATTCGGTGCCACCATGCGGGGGTTGAGCCTTCCGTGAAATTATTCTTGCATTTCTTCTGGCTTTCCCCGTACGGCCACACAGGTTACCTCAGTCTTGTGGCCCGCTCATGGAGAGTTCTTTTTTCCAACAACCCCCCGAACCCGAACGGCTGGGAGGAGAGATTCTTTCTCATTGGGGTTGATTCCCCTCCCCCCTTCTCCGACCGGTGGAATGCTTATCTTGTTAAGTTTAAGCCTCCGGTCCTGAATTCGGCCGAGCTGGAGCAGGCCGCACGTATTGCCGGTGAGGGGGTCCGGAACTTGCGTTCACTGGTGAATGATACCAATTTGGGCAAGGTCGGCATAGGTACTTCCTCGTTGTGGCCCGGGTTTTGGACTCTCTTGCTGTGAATTCCAAGCATTGCTCTGATTTTTATATATCTTCTTTATGCAGGACTTTTTCCCAGGTCTTCCGCCATGGTTCCTCGTACCAATGTAAGCCCTTCCTCGGGTCGGGCCGATGTCAACAAGGGGAAACAAATTGTCGGTGATGATCAGGGCCTGAAGAGGCCTAATGCTGAAGATCTTTCCAGGGACGAGCGGCTTCCCAAGAAGTCCCGTCATAAGGAAGGGTCTTCCAAGGCCGTGATGATCCTTGATGGGTCAGATAATGAGGCCGCCTCTCCCCCTAGGCCGCAGCCGGTTACCTCAGCGGGTAAGGGCTCATGCGATCCTCCTCCGCCCGGTTCCGAGGAGTCTTTCTCTGATATCATCGAGTTCTCCGAGTTGGGTCCCCGCGCGGAGTCGAAGATATTGTTTGGTCAGACGACCTCTTCCATCTGGTGCTCTTTGGGGTTAAGGGTCCCCCGTGATTTTGCCGCTCGTGAGAGCCCGGTGGATCTCCATGAGTGCGGCCTTAGCACCCTCAATAAGGCCGTCATTTACTTCTACGAGGCGCGGTTCGCTTATGAGGCACAGGGGCGTGCATCCGCCCATGTACGTTGTGAGGCCGAGGATCTGATGAAGAAGGCCAAGGAGCGTCTGAGTAACTGTATACTACTTACTTCCTATCTATGGGCTGATGGGTTTGTTGGGTTGATATTGTACTACATGCCTTTGTCTTAACTGCGTATATGAGTGCTTAAATTAGACTTATTTAAAATTTCAACCCAACAAACCCATCAGCCCATAGATAGGAAGTAAGTAGTATACAGTTAAATTGGGTTAGGGTTTGCTATTAGCGGAAACATTTCGGGGGTGTATTTATTTTAACATTTTAAGACAATTTGGAATTTGTGAAATCTTGGTGTATTCACATTTTAAAACTCCTAAAATGTCAAGGTGTATTTAATCTAGATTCCAGGATTCTATTTATCATGTGGACATATTGAGACTTCCAAGGCCAAATAAAGACTAAAATGCCATTTTCCAAATCTCATCCCAGGTTTACAATCTATAATTTGATATCATAAATTATTACGGAGTATGGGGGTGTTTGGAACTGATTCTGCTTCTGCTTCTTTTTTAAAGCAGAAGCAGAATCAGTTTTCAGAAGCTGGTCACCCCCAACTTCTAAAAAACTGATTCTAGGAGTAAATTAGAGCACCAGAATCACTTCTGCACTTTCACCCAAACACTCCAAGTTCTGCTTCTGCTCCTTGAAAGAGCAGAAGCAATTTTAAGAATCAGATCCAAACACACCATATATCCGCATCTCCAGTCATATTTCTTTCAAACAAAAAAACATCTAAGCCTCTGCGTGGTCATCTTGTAGCTCCATCACGACATTTTTGACACGATTTCTTAGTTTTCACTTCAAAGGTAAAGCTTCCAGCTTAATTCTATCTAGTTAAGCATTTGTAAGTTCATTTTAACTATTTTATTTTAAATCTTTATGAATAATTTTGGCATTTTCAGCTTTATTTTATGAACCTAGAGATTTTCAAAAGGTAAAGGTTGAGAAACTTTTACTATTCATGAATGCATTATTTTGCAGAACTTTGATTAATGGTCGATGAACTGATAAAGTATTTATATATTCCGTAGAAAATTTGGCCATTGCACCCTCTAGAATACTCTACATCGAAAATTATTAGCAGCAAAATATTAATTATTTACTTCTTTTAACGTTCTTTGGGAAAAACGTCATCTGTATCCACTATCCCATGTTAACAACATTGGTCTTCGTATGTCGAGATGTTGCTTCCTGCTTTTGTTGTGTATTCCATCTTATTGCATCAATTACACCGTAGTTAATGTGAAATATACTCCTCACTTTCCTACGGTAGACACTTTTGGCAGAAACTTCTCTTGCAAGATTTCTTTTGCTATTATATTATAATAGATATTTCACCTAAATCATTATATATCTCTACACATTTACGTATGAAAGGAACAAAATATAGTGATTTGTCAGCCCATGAATGTTGCTAATCGATGCACAAGACAATTTCACCGAGTGGATGATGAAGATGAATCATGAATGTATTTTTGTATTCTTGTATTTGACACTATAAATGAGTTTTTATTTGATTACACACATTAATGGACTGTTTTTAAACATAATAAAAAAACGATCAGTCTATTTCTAATTTTCTAGAGACTGATGTATAATACGAAGCAACTAATTCATGATATTAGCTTTTGCAACTGAATCGGTATCAAATTATACTTTGTGCGGTATTTCTAAAAATCTCTGCGTCTATGTTGGGCATCATGGTTGTACAATATGGACTCATACTTTATCACTGGGACTTAGAGCCAAATCATACCCTTTCCCTCTGCAATCTAATATAGTTAAGAGACTGCTTAAAGGGTTTCTCCGATCTGTATATCAGATCTTCATGCAAAATACCCCTTACATTTTTCCATTCTAGATAACATCACCATCACAACATTATATATAGTCTTTGGTGTTCATTCTGTGATGGCAAAGCAGAGCTTGGCCTCATCCCAGGGACCGTTAATCTCAAACTTGTACTCTTGAAGTCGTATCAGCCAATAAGGACAGACCAAATTGACAAAGACAAACACAGCCAACAACAAAATAAAGAGCAGTGTGTGCAACCAGTAAAAGAGAACTAAGGACAAGACCATTAACCCGAAAGAGAAAAAAAGGTGCAATCTGAATGAGAAGTTCTTCACACAGTAGGTGACAAATGGGGCAAATAGAAAAACTTGCAAGGAGAACAACACAATGGCAAATACATGAAGTCTTGATGGAAGGCGAGATGCAATTAGAAGTGAAGCCACTATAGAAGCATTCAAAGAGATGTTGCTCATAAGGGTTGGGTTTTCTTGACTTCCAGGAGCTTTTATGGTTGATCCCGAGTAATTATGCAGGAAGAGGTTTATAATGAGGAGACAAGCTGTTAGTGCCCATATAGAATCTGAGGCTATGGATCGGGTGAGTGTATGGAAGATAGGAGACAACATATACAACCCAATCATGAAAAATGAAATCTTGAGGGTATAACTGAGAAGAATATTAAAGGAGATTAAGTCTGCAGTAAAGAGAAGAATGAAAAAACCCAACCCAAGAAGGCTAACATTTAGAACTAAAAGTGAATTTTCATTCAAGGTAGATCGGAGTGTATAGGTCCAAACCAAAACCACAAGACAAACGGTGGAAATATACTGAGAAATGGAAACTGAATCTAGGATCACCTTTAGCAAGTCTCTTTTGACCACATTGGCGTTCATAATCATATCTTCTAGGAAAGATTCATCTGTATGATTGTCATCAAAACCAGGTTGCATCCCTCCATAAGCAACTTTCCTCCATTTAGGTTTTGTTGGAGAAAAGTTTTCACTCATAGTACTTTCCATCTATGTCATATAACTTGAGAAGAGAAAATCTGTAAGCCATCATTTGAAGGATTATCAAGACTTTAGCAGTGAAAGATGCAACAACATTTTAATCATAATGTCACCACTCACCAATGCATATCTTCTACACAGCTGCACTGGTTATAATAGTTTTACTAAATCAGGTACAACTTTACGGAATCAACTATTTACGCAAAGTCAGGTACATTTCATCTAAGCATTTCACCGAACTTACGGGCCAAAAGAAGGAATTTAAAAACTAATACACATAGTTTTCATGCTTGTGCTGATATTGAGGATGTTTTAAGGCATGCTATAAACTGAGGATTTCACACCTAGGGACAAATCTATTTAGAGCACAAAGCACAAAAAGTGGCAAGGAGGGGGTTTCCTAGAAGGGAAGTGCTGAGTGAATTGTTTCGTTCTCGCAATAAGCAACAATTATAGACAAATTATGTATGGTGCAATTTAAGGCGGAAACACTGCATAATCTTAGAAGTCATTGCAGCAAGTCGTCAATATGGCTGATCTAGCCATTGAAATTTGGTTGTTAAAAAATACATTAAAATTAAAACATTCACTATAATCCTGGGTGATGCAATAATTCGACGATTGTATCTTTATAAAAAAGAATTAGAGTACACATTTTCTTAAACAAGAGTACAATTTAAACAGTACACATTAATAACTAATTTGATAGATCAAAGTACAACTTTCTTAAACAAGACAACAAACCCTAGCTAATAATTAATCAGTGTCATCAGATTAGATAGAAATATGAAATTACCTTTAAAAAGATGAAGTGAAAAATTATAAATTGAGAAAGGTGAGAAATTAAGAAGATGAAAACTGGAAATCTCAGACTGCTTACCTCGATTCATTCGTCGGTTAGAAGGCGGAGCAGACAAGCAGGGGCAGTGGCAGCGAGCCGACGACGATATAGGCGAGGTGCGAAAGTGTGACTGTGCGCGGCTGCCGAGTGCCGATTGGCCAGCAGGCGAAGCGGAGTTCGACTGTCGGACTTCAGAAAATCAGGGATTCAGAGGTCCCAGGCAAAGCGGTGACCGCCGTCTGGCCGTCTGGACTAGTAAGCGAGTACCTGTTACAGCTATTTTGGTGGTGCCCAATCGTATTAGTAAAATGCTTAGCATACATGTACACAAAACGTACATAAAACCCCCTAATTGTGCGTAAATGTACGCATTATTTTGTGTACACCAAAATAATATTAACTAGGAGGTCGTGAGGTCCTCTATTAATTATAGTATACCAACATCATAAAATCATCATAAGAATGATGTAATAATAATAAAAAGTACACAAAATTAATTGCAATTTGCAACTACTATGTTTTAACCAGAAATTAAACTAATCTAAATGTGGAATTGAACGAGAATCAAGCAAATAAGAATCAGATGTAAAATATGACACTATTGGAATGAATTAAACATTAAGCAGAAAGAATTTTGCTAATCTCTTTGTATTATACACACAGTGTGTATATCTTTTAGAATGATGTCTCTCTACATGGGATATCAACTATCCGTATTTATTCTAACTCATGCCTTAGTGGCTGCACCCACTATCCAAAAGAGAATAAGGGCTTTCTCCCCAAGCTTAGCAATGATATGCCTATTTTTCCTCCACTAGCAACAACCTCCTTTGATTTGATCTTGAACTCTTCATTTATCTTTATCCAATACGCATGTTGCTATCTTCTAGATTGGTTCACACATTTATCAACCGGTGGCCTAATTTCTAATTAAAATTCTTGGGCCCAACATACACAAAATTTCAATCCGCAAGATAATGTACGGAGTATATGTTTTAACAAGGAGAGATCAAATTACAAATTTTACAAATTTCAAAAGAGCCCAAATGTCAAGGTTGTATTAGCTGCTTCAATTCAAGTTTTCAATTCTAATTAAACACATATTATTACGTGTCTATATTTATTTTACTCCTTCCTTGATGTCATTATAACTAGGGGTGGGTATAACGGTTCGGTTTGACCGAACCGAACCGTACCAAACAGAATTAAACCGAATCGAAACTGAACCATTTGTAATTTGGTTTGAGTTTGGTAGTATTGCTCCCAACCCGTATTAAACCGAACCCAAACGAACCGAATCATAAAACCGAATAAAAACGAATAAAACCGAACTAATCTAAAAATGAAATAATTTCTTATTTTTTTAAAATAACAAATCAAAACCAACTTACACCAAACTAAACCAAACCAAAATATAAGATTTCTCTTATTAATTTGATTGATGTTAATCTTTTTGAAGCTTTAATTCTTTAATTTTAGTGTCCAGGACTAGAGTTTACTACAAGAGTTACATGCACAACTATAACAATTATAGTGATTTAAGTAGAGAGTATTTAGCTATAATTTATTATCTACTACTACTATATATTTGGTTCATTACTTACAAGCACCCGTTTTGTTTTTGTTTCGGCTTTATATATAAATTGATTCATTCCCGTTGTTGTTGTTGCTTACAAATGTGTCATGCTTATATATTTTTTATTCATGTGTTTTGTTACTGTTTGAAAATTTATATCTAACATTATATTTGGTTCACTACTATCGCTTCTTGGTTCATTATTTTGAGTTAATTTTTGTTTCAATCCAAACCTTAGTACTTTGGTAAACCGAACTCTAAACCGAACCGAACCATAACAAACCGAAACCAAACCGAAACTTGATCGGTTTGTATTTGGTACATTTTCTATCAAACCGATTAAACCGAAACGAACCGAAACCGAAGAAAACCGAACCGAAAACCGAAATGCCCACCCCTAATTATAATAATCACATTGGAAGTCATTATAAATACGATGTGATGAATGATACAATACGATGTTTACAAATACTAAGTCCGTATATATAAGCAAACAATTAGGGTAAACTCTTAATTAAATTTTGGGCCTGATTGCCACAAAAAATAAGGCCCAGTTTGGGCTGGCTCTTGCTCCTTGTTTATTTGGATCCCAGATCTTAGTGGACTGAAGAGTGAAGCCTACAGCTCAACATCCCAAATAAAAGATATGGACAAGCGTATAACTCCAGGGTCGGTCATGTATGTCTAAAGGCCTAGAAATGGATAATTCATAATTGACTTAGCTTCTAAAAAAACTGTAAAAAATATTTTATGTCTAAGCTAACATTCATAATAATAATAATAATAATAATTCAGGATTTGACTTCCTCATGCAAATGAATTTTTCATTGAACCTTTTTCATTTTCACTTAATGCCTCTTTCTCTAATCTTCTCCTCTTTTTTCCTTCTCCCATCTAGATTCAACCATTTCTATTACATCTTGAAATTAATTAAATTTATAAATTTAATTACTACATATAATTGAAAAAGTTTTACCTAACAAATTACGTAGCATGTAGTATAACACTAACTGAAAATGCAAATTTAATTACATAACAGAAAAAACTAATCACTTAAAATTCGACAAGTCAACACATATGAACCAATCGCTATCGCCATAACACTGTTTGGCACTGTTTTGCACTGTTTTGCACTGTTTTGATGTAGCTAATTTGCCAAATAAGGAAGGGAGAAGAAGTGTGAAATTTATTTTGAACATACCCAAAATGGAAAGTGTGAAGTTTATTTAGGACCGGAGGGAGTATTTTTTATTATTTTTACAAGTATCGCTTTTTGCGAGAAAGCTACGCTTCGCTTAGCGCTTTCGTTTTTAAGCAAAGCCTAAGGTCATCGCTTTTGGACGCTTTTCACTTTAAAAAAGTTTGAGCGTGGCAGAGATGCGTATGTTGCGTTGGATGTGTGGCCATACCAAAAAAGATCGTTTGAGGAATGAGATAATCAGACGAAAGGTGGGAGTAGCACCTAAAGAAGATAAGATGCAGGAGTCTCGTTTGCGGTGGTTAAGGAGTTCCGAGGAGTACCTGTGCCTGAAGCCTGAAGGTGAAAAGGGAAGGGATGAATCGCTGAACGACTGAAAAGGGAACCACTGTCACCGCCGCACCAGATCTCCGAAAGGCAGAGAATGAGAGAAGTGAGGACTGATAAGCTCAGAACACGATATGGGGCGGGGCTGCAGGCGTCCAAGCTTCGGTAGTAGGCATGGCCGGATCCAGGAATGAGGGGTGTGGTGGACTAAGCAGTAAAAATTTTGCTGGCACACAAAAGGTTCAGCTTAGGACTGTTATTGAACTAAGATTTTTTCGAACTACTCGAGTTTGAGCGTGATTCCGAATTTAATTTAACGACCCGAGCTTAATTAACGAGCTTCGAACTCAAACACGGGCTAGATTTTGAGTTTGAAAAGTTATTCAAACCAAATTCGAGCATAGTCGTGTTCAGTTCGATCCAGATTTGAGCATATCGATAACTTGTAAATTATAGAATAGATTGTTTACTACCTTTGCCCACTTTTATTTAGTCAAATTTGACTTTTCAAGTCAAAGAATTTAAACTTTGAATGATTGTACATTTATTTAGACAGTGATACTGATAATATGAAAATGATATAAAAATGTTCTTTGTTAAAAATATAACTCTGTATCATAAAAGTATAAATTTATTAAGTTTCACATTAATTAATATATTAGTTAAAATAATGGATCAAGGTTTACCATATTTGACTGAAAAAGTCAAATATGGCTAAATAAAAAGGGACAAAGGTAGTATATCTTAAAATTTAAACTTTTTTAGTGCGATTTTATTAATTTATTAATGATTATTAAAGATTATAGTATTTATTGATATGATTATATGAATTAAAATACTTCTATAAAAGTATAAAATTATTAGGTAAAAATAATCGGTGTCTAAACAAGTTTAAAATTGAATTGAGATTTTTAATACTTTCTTACATGTCTAAACAGTAAAAAAATCATTCTATAATCTTTAATTGTATAATAAATAAATCATTCTCCAATCTTTAATCTATCTTTAATCATTATAAATAAATTTATAATGAATGAAGACTATTTTATTATGGGAAATTGCCCTAAATAGGAATAAATGGGGTTTGGAATTCCAAAATGTGACTACTATGTTTTTCTTCCAGATATAGGAGTTGTTACTAACATGTATGAAAAATCCTGCCATGATTGAAAAATATTGTCATTAATTATAAAAAGTACTTCTATGTTAAATGCACAGTATTGCAACTATTTGTGAGTCATGCTTACAAGATGGCACTGAATAGTGTTAGTCCTATTTCGAGAAGAAAAACATATCAATCCTATTTTGGAATTCCAAACTCCGTTTACTCCTATTTTGGGAAATCTCCCTTTTATTATCTACTGAAAAATTCAAGTAATAATCAAATTGATTCCCTAACCCTAAAAGGCTAAAAATAATAATACTGTTAGCGGTGTTAAACTAATAATCTAAAATAATCAAATTGATTTCTTAACCCTAAAAGACTAACAAAATAATAGATTAAAACCTAAAAGACTAAACTGTTACCTGGACTGAGCGGACTCCCTGGAGCAGTGGAGCTGGAGGCAGAGTCGGAGAGGAAAAACGGATGACACAGGGCTGATGTTCGCGTCTTTGTTGGTGGGTCTCAGCTCACAGGCACCACAGCGTTATCGTCACAACTCGCAAGCTCCGTCAATCGTTCTTCGACCTTCGTTCTTTCTGTTCTTCGCAGTCCTGAGTTCCGCGTTCTGCCTGTTCGCGTAAGGAGAGGAAGCGCAGGTAAGTCGAAAGGTTTGGGCTGTGGGCTGGGCTGGGAATTAATTCTAGCGTGGGCTGAGAATTAATTTTGGGTTGGGCTGGAATTAAACTATACCTATACTAATTTTAAAAAATAAACTTGGGCTGGGTTGGAGCCCACCCCTGCCCTCAAAGCCATCTGCCACTGGCGGTCAGCGAATGGCTACTCGGCGTTTTGCACTTAGGAGACAGGAGTTGGGGTTCATCGATCGCCCAGTCTGTATTACTCACTGAACCTTTTGCTCTTCCTAGGCCGTTGGGCAGTTGGCCTCGACAAAACTATTTGTTTTGGGCTGAAAAATCAACCTACTAATGCTTATGGAGTATAAGGACAATTCTAAACACATTCACAAAGTTGCTCCACAAAGTTGCAATTCACAACCACCTAATTAAATTCTAATAAATAAAACTATTTTAAATGTCCACTTTACCTTGATGCAAACGGTGGTCTATTCCCTGGAAATCTAGGGTTTGTTTCTCCGGTACCTTACCAGTGGTAGAGTGTTGTTTGATTTCATCTTTGATCGGTGTGTCGAGGTGATTACTATCTGGTGTACTATGAGTGTGGTGAGTTGGAATTGTCGGGGGATAGGGAATTTCGATACGGTGCAGCCGTGCAGGTGTTGTCGGATAACATGCAAAAGAAACATTTGTCCTTAATTTTTATGATGGAAACAAAACTAGGACACAAAAGGTTATCAACAATTCTGGAGAAGTTGGGTTTTGTTTGAAATATTAGTGTGGATGGTGAAGGTCTGCGCGGTGGTGTGGTTATGGGATGGTTACCAAATGTGGAAGTTCAGATTATTGAAACAGATAGATATTTCATTGACTGTAAAGTTCGATTGAGCAGGGGGCAGCCGGAATGGAGGTTCACTGGGTTCCATAGCTATCCGAAAAGTGGCTGACATAGGTAGCCTTGGGCCTTGCTAATGAGGCTATCAACCAAAGGCACGATGCCATGGATGGTCGTCGGTGATTTAAATGATGTCATGTTTGAGTAGTGTGAGAAGAAAGGTGGATTGCCATAGCCAGGATGTAGATTGATGGGCTTCAAGCAGTGTGGGCGAGTGGATTACATAATCTTCTGTTGTGAGGATTCCAATGGACGTGAGAACGTGGTAAATCGAGTTACATCATGTTGGGTAGAGGAGAAGCTTGACAGATTCCAGGTAAATGAGGAGTGGTTGGACTACTTTGAGGCAACTCAAACCTGGTCGGTGGAGGTTCCAACAAGTGATCACGTAGCTTTATACCTAAAGGTGACCAGAACAGTGGAACGTAAAGGGCCTCATCACGTTAAATTTGAGAATCAATGGATTGGAGAGGTGGAATGTCGGGAGATAGTCAAAGCAAGCTGGGCTGGAGGAGGTGGTTTGAGACAAGGGGATCCTCTCTCACCTTATTTATTTATTTATTTATTTATTTACTATGGCGGAAGAAGGATTGAGTTCCATGTTGAGAAAGGCTGAAGAGCGAGGAGATCTACACCAACTGCTGGAGTAGTAGTGGCTAGAGGAGCACCCAAGGTCTCTCATTTGTTATTTGCGGACGATAGTTTACTGTTCTTTAAAGCTTCAATAAAGGAAGTAGAGGAAGTTAAAAGACTTTTGGCTGAGTATGAAAGTCAATTGGGACAAGCCATAAATTATAGAAAGGTTACTTTGGCTTTCAGCCCGAACAAGAATATTAGAGCTAACTTGAGCAGTTGGTTTGGTATTGAACCAGAATGATAAAAAATATCTTATCTGGGGATGCCGTCCCTGGTGGGAAGGAGGAAGACCGAAATTCTTGGGTATATCAAGGAAAAGGTCATTAGTCGTATTAAATGTTGGAATAACATATTTTTGTTTGGTGCAGGTAGAGTTGTCCTATTTAAGAATGTTATTCAGGCAATGCCTACTTGTGAGATGAATGTGTTCTTGTTACCAAAGGAGTTATGTGAAGAAATTGAACAGATTATGAATGGCCACTGGTGGAAGAGAGCATATTTTACCAAGAAAGGGATGCATCGGAAGACGTGGAAAGGAATGTGTTTGCCTAAGGAAGTAGGAGGGCTTGGATTTCAGTGTCTTAGAGCATCCTCAATGCCTTTTAGTCTAGTCTATGTACATAATAACAAATGTCAAATAAAGAAAATGGTTTCTAACCCACGTAGTAATTGTGTAGGGAGTGGATAGTGATGAACCAAATAAAGTCTCCAATGCATTTTGTTATACGGACCATTAATTAAAACTGCCATGTCGAATCAATTGTATTAAAATAAAAGGAAATATCTATTTATCAACGGCTTTCGTACGAAGAAGTCTCTTTTTTTGCTGAGTCACGAAGTGTTGTAGCCTTTCTACATTGAAACGTCCCCCTTCACAGTGTTTAGAATTTTTTTTGACATGTCACCTAACTGTGTTTAACTCCGCCATGAGATCATTTTTTTGGTATCATGCATGTCCCGAGCCAAGATAAAGGAGGAGGGTGTTGTAGTAGGCGCGTGACAGCCAACAGTATCACTTAGTCACATCACATGACATGAATCGAAGTATGAATATCGCTACAGCTAGGTCATCGCCCGTAAGCGGCGCGTCATCCCTCCGCCTGGGGGTGGTGTCAAATGGGCAAGGGCGCGTTACACTTCATAGGCCTGAGTGTGGTGATAAGAATGATAAGGCTGCTAGGTCGTCGCCCGGAAGCGATGCGCCACTCCAATGCCCGGGGATGGTGTCAAATATGCAAGGGCATGGTGGGGGTCGATGTGGGGTGAAGAAGAGAAGGCAGAGTGTTAGATTGCGCTTTGGGACATGGAATGTTGGCTCTCTTACGGGAAGATCATCTGAGATAGCTGAGGTTATGAAGAGGAGAAATATCAGCATAATGTGCATGCAAGAAACTAAGTGGGTTGGAGAAAAGGCACGCGAGATTAATCCCGGAGGTTTTAAGCTTTGGTACTCGGGGAGAGAGAGGAACAGAAATGGAGTAGGCATTATGGTGGCACATGATTATGTTGACGGTGTGGTTGAAGTGTTTAGGAAGAACGATCGCATCATGAGCATTAAGTTGATAATGGGGGATGAGATTGTGTCCGTGGTTAGTGCCTATGCACCACAAGTGGGATTGGATGCATCTATCACTCAACAATTTTGGGAGGATCTTGAGGAAGTGGTGCGACGAGTGCCAAGGGGAGAGAAACTGGTCATAGGAGGCGACCTCAACGGGCATGTGGTCCCAAGTCGTGATGGTTTTGAGAGTGTCCATGGCGGACATGGTTTTGGCACTAGAAATGAAGCGGGGAAGAACATTCTGGATTTTGCCTCGACATATGAGTTGGCTGTGATGAACACTTGGTTCAAGAAAAGAGACTCTCACCTTGTCACCTATAGAAGTGGAGCTAATAGTACCCAAATTGACTACTTTTTAGTACGGACGACTTGGAGAACTAGCTACACTGATTGTAAGGTTATCCCAGGTGAGAGTGCTGTCACTCAGCATAAGATGCTTGTGCTTGATTTCCGAGGTAAAAAGAGTGGACGAGTTAAGGTACAAGGGGAGCCAAAGATAAAATGGTGGAGGCTCGAGGGGAATCTCCAACAAAGTTTTGCACACAAAATGTTGGAGGAAGATGTTTGGTCTATTGATAATGACGCACACGTGGATGATGTGTGGTTACCAATGGAGTCCACCATTAACAAAGTGGCGAAGGAGATACTCGGAAAATCTAAAGGATGTCTGCCACCAAAAAAGGACACATCTTGGTGGAATGATGAGGTGAAACAAGCAATAAGGGCCAAAAGAGAATGCTATAAGAAATTGGGCAAAAGTTGGAGCGACGAGAACATAGAGGAGTACAAAGAGGCTAGAAGAAGAGCAAAGAAAGCTATGAAGGAAGCCAAAGGAAAAGTGAATAAGGAATTGTATGTAAAGTTGGATTCTAAGGAAGGAGAAAAAGATATCTACAGACTTGCTCGCCTTCGTGACCGTAGGACTCAAGATATCGGAAAAGTTAAGTGTGTGAAGGATGTCGATCAAAGGGTACTAATGGACGATGAAGAAATAAAAGAGAGGTGGAGGTCATACTTTGATACCTTGTTCAACGGAAATAAAGTCCAAGGTATTGATGATCTTACTATACCAGAGTGTATGGTAAATAGGGACTTCGTGAGAAGGATTCAAACAACTGAAGTTTAAGAGGCTATGAGAATAATGGGCCGGAAGAAAGCAGTGGGCCCAGATGGCATACCGATCGAGGCTTGGAGAAGTTTGGGAGAGAAAGGCATCGAGTGGCTAACACATTTCTTCAACATGATTTGGAGAAACAACAAAATGCCAGTGAGTTGGCGGAAGAGTACTCTCATTCCCTTATTTAAAAATAAGGGTGATGTGCAAGAATGTGCTAACTATCGAGGGATTAAGCTTATGAGTCACACCATGAAACTTTGGGAGCGAGTGGTTGAGCAAAGACCACGTAAAAGTGTGAAAATTTCGGAGAATCAATTTGGTTTTATGCCTGGACGCTCAACAACTGAGGCCATTCACCTTCTTAGACAAGTTGTGGAGAAGTATAGAGACACTAAAAAGGATCTGCATTTGGTGTTCATTGACTTAGAAAATGCATATGATAGGGTACCTCGAGAAGTTCTTTGGTGGGCCTTAACTAGAAAAGGCATATCACGTAAGTATATCAACGTCATCATGGATATGTATGATGCTTGTACTACAAGTGTCCGCACTAGTGTAGGGAGGACTGCAGAGTTCCCTATTACTATTGGAGTGCACCAAGGATCTGCTCTGAGTCCTTTCTTATTTGCTTTAGTCATGGATGAACTTACGAAATCAATTCAAGAAGATATATCGTGGTGCATGATGTTTGCCGATGATATTGTATTGATTGATGAGACACAATCCGGTGTTAAAGCAAAGTTGGAAGTATGGTGACAAACATTGGAGAGCAAGGGTTTCAAACT